GTCTCGAAGCAGGAAGAAATTTAGCAAGAGCTTTAACGAACAATAAATTCATCACTGATTTGAACTTAAACGATAATTATATTGTTCATGAATTAGGTGAATTTTTAATGACTATTTTATCATACAACAATATTACTAGTATAAGTTTAAGATCGACTAAGATCAGCTCTGAAATGGTAACGGTCTTATCACAAGATTTAAAGTTGAATAAAGTCAAGCTCCGGTATTTAAATTTGAGTCGTAACAAAATTAGTAGTGATGCAATGGTAGCTTTAATAGAAGCTTTAGAAGATAATACGACTCTAAGAAATTTGGATTTAAGTGATACTGCAGCAGGACAAATAGGGCGAGAATTAGCAAAGTCTTTAGAAAAAAATAACAAACTAAAAATATTAAATTTAAGCAACTGTAATATTCGTGTTAATGTAGTAAATGCATTAGAAAATGCTTTACGAACAAATGACACACTCTCTGACCTAGATCTAAGTTACAATTCATGTTCAATGAGTAACTTGTTGAAAGCTTTAGAGACAAATAGTTCACTCACTAAACTGGATATAGGTCATAGAGATTTCCATTTAGAAGAAGTAGAAGCTTTGGCGAATGCTTTAAAAATAAATAATACACTTACTCATCTATATATAAGTAAAACTATGGATGATCCTGAGATCGGATATGCCTTATTTGAAGCTTTAGAAGTGAACAAGAGACTTACTGATTTGGATTTGAGTAGAAATAATATTAAAGAAATAGAGATTATAGCCAAGGCTTTATTGAATAACATATCTCTTCGAAGAGTAGATTTAACGTTTAATCAACTCCAAGAGACGAGATTCGAACTTAGAAAAATTTTAAAACCTAAAATTTTTACGCTAAATGTTAAATTTTAAATACATTTATTCATCACCAAGCGAGAGATTGATATTTCTCTTCCCTTAATAAGTTATAAGCTAACACTTAAATACTGTAGCATTAGATTTTAAAAAAACTAAGGGTAGTCCACAGCTAGAGGGATGCTATATTACTATTGCTTTATATAAAGATGTAATGCTGGTATTAAGAAGCAGTGATATAAAAAATATTAAAAAATATCTATATCTCGTGAACTGATTTTAATGATTTTATCATTATAGATAGCTGCGTAGCAGATCCTCGATTTTGATTGGCTAACGGCCGATGATCTTCAAAATTTTGGCCCGCATTACATAATTGTTTACTAATTCCCGGCCGGAATTACTTTTTACATCAGGAAATTTTATATATAGATATAAATCGATTAGTAACTACGTGAATATATATCGATTGTGATTATAATTGATATATAGCTGGTTTTATACCTGTCGATTTTTATTGATTTTGATTTAAATCGATACATACCTAATATGAAATAATCACTTATCAACGATTAAGTTAAAATATCGATTAAAACCATTGTAGTTTAAAGACCTATACATTGTATTATATCAGTCACAGGACATGTCCACATGAGTGCTGTTACTTATAAATCAAATGAGTTGACTCACCCAATTTTATATATAAATTTATGTAAAAAAATCACTTAAATTTAATTTTTATAAAAATATACATATAAACCTTTTTTTAAACTTTAAATATATATTTTTTGACATTTAATGATCTTTAGTTTAAAGCCAAAGTTTTTAATCTCTGGTAGTTTCTAAAAGATCTTCTTTTAAAGTTAGACAATTCTTTACTATGTTCTTTAAGTCAAATGAATGACACACCTCATACAATAATATGATTGGTTAAAATAATCTTCTAAAACATGAAAGATGCTATTAAGTAAAGGTCTCTTCTAGCTTTAAGAAAAGTTGTAGAGGAGGTTCTTCTAATTCTAATGGTGGTTGATCCCAAGATACTTGAGGTCAAAGAAGAAAACATAAGGATCTGCAAATTTACTGTTACACAAAGTATAATACTTTGTGTAACAGTAAATTTGCAGATCCTTATGTTTTCTTCTTTGTCCCCAAGTATCTTGGGATCTACCAAGCCAATTTTGATGATTCAACCAACATTAGAATTAGAAGAACCTCCTATACAACTTTTTTTAAAGCTAGAAGAGACCTTTACTTAATAGCATCTTTCATGTTTTAGAAAATTATTTTAACCAATCATATTATTGTATGAGGTGTGTCATTCATTTGACTTAAAGAACATAGTAAAGAATTGTCTAACTTTAAAAGAAGATCTTTTAGAAACTACCAGAGATTAAAAACTTTGGCTTTAAACTAAAGATCATTAAATGTCAAAAAATATATATTTAAAGTTTAAAAAAAGGTTTATATGTATATTTTTATAAAAATTAAATTTAAGTGATTTTTTTATATAAATTTACATATAAAATTGGGTGAGTCAACTCATTTGATTTATAAGTAACAGCAATGCAAGCTCTTATATATGAACATGTCCTATGACTGATATATCTATTTATTACTCACGCTATTTGTATAAATAAATATAAAAGTGTGAGAATTTTCTTGAAAATATTAATTATAGCAATAATAGTAAATAATGAAGCTAAAATTATTGCAAAATCAGTTAATATTAATTTAATCAGATGAATGTATAAGAAATATTGAAATTCTTCAATTATTATATATAAGAGTATCTATAATGCTAAATTGAAATTATTTTTAGATTAAGTTTGTGAAATTAAATTTTTTTTTCATAAAAATTTTGAACCAATGATATATTTATTATTTACTATATGATATTTAACTTTTAAAATGAAAAATCAAACAGTTGAAAAAAGTCTAATTTTTATACATATATAATCAAAATTCACATGCACTTAATTGATTTAGAAAAAATTAAGTTATGATTGTTAGTTTGGAAGTATGATACATAACAAATGTGTTTAGTATTTTCAACAACTATATAGATTAAATAGTATGAAGTTTCTAATAAAAATTATTCTATAAGAGTGAGCTAACCTTATCTTTATCAAAATAAATATTTGATTATTATGAAAAAGTATACCTTCTGGAACTTACTACTATAATGTTAGTCTTGTATCAATAATGCATACTGATACATGACTTTCCCAGCATAACCACTAAAAAAAACTTAGGCATGTAATTATTGTGGCTAATATTGTCAATCTTTTGTTTTGTTACTAATATGTATCATTATTTGTAATCTATATGTAATTATTATGTTCGATTTCAAACATATCAATTACATATAGATTACAAATAATGATAGTAAAATAAATTAATGTCGAACATAACAATTACATATAGATTACAAATAATGATACATATTAGTAACGAAACAAAAGATCGACAATATTAGCCACAATAATCACATGCCCAGTTTTTTTGATAGTTATACTGGAGTAGATTTTAACAATCAAGATACTAATTTAGTTATAAATTAATTTATTATACTACTAATTTGAGTGGTCAGTGCTTATAAACCTTACTATTTATGTCTCCATTATATAATTTTTAACAATCACAATGCTAATTTAGTTAAAATTAATTTATTACACTGCCCACTTGCTTATATACTCTTACTATTCATACTTCAATTATATAATTTTAACAATTACAATTACAATATTAATTTAGTTAGATATTTAAGTGTACTAAAAAAAAAAGCTAGTTGATTCATTATACTGCTAACTTAAGTAGTCAGTGCCTATAAACTTCTATCTAACTATATTTCAAATATTATATATTATTGTAGTTATATTAGTAACTATAGTTATTAATTAGAACTCATTCAGATGGGACATGTTTCATGTTTTAAATTATAGATAAGCATTATTTATTTAAAGAAAAAGCTATTGAATTTATTAATTTGGCTTTGCTTATATAGTCATATTTGACTTATATTATTATATTATAAGTCAATCATATGATTTGACTCCTATATTAATTGCATACTTTTATATCATTTTTTATGCGCTATTAATCTTACTTTGGTAAACTATTTTGTATTACTGATTATTGTATAATTGAACTTTTTTAACTAATTGTTTAACACACATTATATGCATCACATATACACATTATTACGATCGTTTCGAACTTTTTTAACCCAAAGATAAATATTAAACATATTACAATTTTTATTTTTTTAATTTTTATACCAATACATTTATACTATATTTCTTTTTCACTAATTTAGAGATCCTCTTAACTACTTGTTTTCAATGTAACAATACTAATCTATAACTATATACTAAAAAAATATGTATGTAATGGTAATGTTTAGATTACTAATATAAATAATAATTGTATAACATTAAATTTGTTATTCTGATTTGTCAATAAATTCTTTAAATTTATACAAAAAGTTATTAAGGATAGGGTGAATGTAGATCATTTCTTATATAAGTAGATCAACCAAAAAAATATTATACAAAAATTGAACACATGTTACATATAAAAGTTTTTAAAAATATAACTGATTTTCATAAAAGTTTTAGAGTAGATAGATTAGACCCTTCTAATTCTAATTAGAATAATTTGAACCTCTGTATTATTTAAAAAAACATACTTGCATATATTATTAATTCTTCTTAGATTGATCAAAATTTGTCTAGGTTACACAACCAGGAAGTTTGTTCTATCCATTTTCTAGAAACAATTTAAATTTTTTAAATTTTAAATCTTTTTTTTATATTATCTCTATGAGTTCCTGACCAAATTTGATGAAAAATTTTTTTATTTAAATTCTATGGATTCATAGAATTAAAATAAAAAAGTTTCATCGAATTTGGTCAAGAACTTGCAGAGATATCTTCAATAAAAAATTTCTACTTCTAAAAACGTATATAACAAAAAAGCTGCGCCGAAATTGCTTACAGGAACTTTCATTAAAGATATCTCTACGGGTTCTTGACCAAATTCGATGAAAATTTTTTTATTTTAATTCTAAGAATCCACAGAATTTTAAAAAAAAAAATTCATCGAATTTAGTCAAGAACACGTAGAGATAACTTTGATAAAAGTTTTTTTTTATATCCAAAAACATAAATCACAAAGAAGCTGGACCAAAATTGTTTACAAGAACTTTCATCAAAGATATCTCTGTGAGTTCTTGACTAAATTCAATGAAAATTTTTTTATTTTAATTCTAAAGACCTGTATAATTAAAATAAAAAAAAATTCATTGAATTTGGATAAGAACTCGCAAAGATAGTTTTGATGAAATTTTCTGCTTTAAAAAACGTATATAACAAAGAAGCTGCACCAAAATTGTTTACAAGAACTTTTATTGAAGGTATCTCTATGAGTTCTTGCCCAAATTCGATGAAAATTTTTTTACTTTAATTCTACTAATCTATAAAATTTAAATAAAAAACTTTTCATTGAATTTGACCAAGAACTCATTGAGATATATTTGATGCAAGATTTTTTCATTTCCAAAAACATAATCACAAAGAAGCTACATTAAAATTGTTTAAAAAAACTTTCATTGAAGATATCTCTATGTGTTTTGACTAAATTTAATAGAAATTTTTTTATATTACTTCTACAGATCTTTAGAATTAAGATAAAACAATTTTCATTAGATTTGGTCAAGAACTTGCAGAGATATCTTTAATGAAAGATTTCTACTTCTAAAAACGTATATAACAAAAAAGCTGCACCAAAATTGCTTACAGGAACTTTTATCAAAGATATCTCTATGAGTTCTTGACCAAATTCGATGAAATGTTTTTTATTTTAATTCTAATAATCCATATAATTTAAATAAAAAAATTTTCATCGAATTTGGTCAAGAACTTGTAGAGATAACTTTAATAAAGTTTTTTTTTTCATTTCCAAAAA